TCCTCAGCCTTTTGTAAAATAATAATTTATGTTCATATTTCACTTTAAAACTTATAGAAAAGAATCCTCAGCCTTTTGTAAAATAATAATTTATGTTCATATTTCACTTTAAAACTTATAGAAAAGAATCCTCAGCCTTTTGTAAAATAATAATTTATGTTCATATTTCACTTTAAAACTTATAGAAAAGAATCCTCAGCTTTTTGTAAAATAATAATTTATGTTCATATTTCACTTTAAAACTTGATAGAAAAGAATCCTCAACCTTTTGTAAAATAATAATTTATGTTCATATTTCACTTTAAAACTGATAGAAAAGAATCCTCAACCTTTTATAAATAATAATTTATGTTCATATTTCACTTTAAAACTTAAAGAAAAGAATCCTCAACCTTTTATAAATAATAATTTATGTTCATATTTCACTTTAAAATTGATAGAAAAGAATCCTCAACCTTTTGTAAAATAATAATTTATGTTCATATTTCACTTTAAAACTTATAGAAAAGAATCCTCAGCCTTTTGATACACCTTTTAATTGAATATTTTAATAATCTATTTTCATCAAGAATAAAAAATATTTATTTCATTCCAAAGATACAGATTAGAATAAACAGCGAATAGTTTTTAAATAGCGAAAGACTTACAGCTCTTGCTGTCACACCTTTTATCTTGTCACTGAGTTGGAAACATTTGGACGAAAAGGGTTTAAGATAAAACGTTTTGTTCCTCAATCAAATTTAACACAAAATTAAAAAAAATCCTTGATCATTCTCTGACTACATTACTTAACGCTATTGCGTTTCTTGACTACATTACTTAACACTATTGCGTTCCCTGACTACATTACCTAACCCTATTGCGTGGTTTAAGATATTGAAAAGATGGCGTCTCAAAAGTGAATACATCAAAATGATTACTATATGATCGTGCAGTATATGTATTTATTATAGTTTTAATATGAGTACAAAAAAATACAAAACTATCGAATTTTTAATTACTTATCATGTAAAGTTAGATAAATGATTGACAGAAAGCCACTTACCTCTGTAGTTGCCTCGGTTACCATTAGGAGGTTCTCATGACGAAGTCCAAAGTTACCTTCTTTATAAAACGAGGGCTCTAGTCACAGTAGAAACAAATAGGTCTTATTAAACACTGACTGTTAATATGTACACTGTATTTAACGAACTGAGTATTTATCTGTACACTGTATTTAACGAACTGAGTATTTATCTGTACACTGTATTTAACGAACTGAGTATTTATCTGTACACTGTACTACGTATTTAACGAACTGGGCATTTATCTGTACACTGTACTACGTTAAACAGTTTTTATTATTAATGGTTAATATGGGTTAAACAGTTTTTATTATTAATGGTTAATATGGGTTAAACAGTTTTTATTATTAAGTTACTTATTTAAGCTGTTCAACCTTGGAGTTTGTTGAGTACGTAGTACAGTGTACAGATAAATGCCCAGTTCGTTAAATACGTAGTACAGTGTTTAACGAACTGAGTATTTATCTGTACACTGTATTACGTATTTAACGAACTGAGTATTTATCTGTACAATGTATTTAACGAACTGAGTATTTATCTGTACACTGTATTTAACGAACTGAGTATTTATCTGTACACTGTACTACGTATTTAACGAACTGAGTATTTATCTGTACACTGTACTACGTATTTAACGAACTGGG